TTGTTTTATAAGAGGTTTGGTTATTTTTTAAGTTAGCTTACATATATGTGTGGGATAAAAAGGACCAACTGTTACTTTACTCTGACAAAGGTGTAATCAATAATAATATAGTATATAAAAGAGTACATTAAGGTGAAAAGGGCAATTTTGAAAGAGATCAATTAAATAAATATTTATTCTAATTCTGCTGATAAATATTTTTGATAAAACACAAGATCAAGGTTATATACAGTGTTACCTCCGTAAAAAATGAAACCCATGAAATTCATATTTTTATTATTTGAATAATGTAGTTATTATTCCATACAATCGCTTTAAAATTAAAATGGGGTGCATGGCTTCATGCCTTAAGGCAAATTGCTGGAACTTCCCGTACTGTAATTAAAAATCTTGATACAGAACCCAAAAAACTTACATAAAATGTGTACACATTATTAAAATCTCTATAAAATATAAGCCAAATGAGATTTTTTTAACTTATTTTTATTGAGAGTCTTTAACCGCTGGACCTGCCTTCCCAAACATTTAATCAGTTTTTTATCTTGTCAATACAAATAAAATGTTTTTTGAATGATTAAAATCGGATACTCCGTTCTCTTAAAAATTGAGTTCCCGTTTTTGGCACTTTTTGCCCGTATCCTCGGAACAGCTAGACCTGCCTTCGCTAAAAACTAATCAGCACGTTTCCCCATCAATACGAATCGAATGTTTTTTGAATTATTCAAGGTTGATCGGTGTTCCCGAAATCGTCGACAAAAATTTGTATCCGCACATACACACACCAATACATTCAATTTTTTCTAAGGTGTGCCAAAATATTCAGAAACCTTTGAAACTTAAAAATATATAAAAATTTTCATTTTCGATTTTTTGCGATTACTATAACTTACCCAATGGAAAGTTAATAAGACATTGAATTTGTTCGCCTCTGGCTGTCTCATTTTACCCCGACTATGGGGTAAAAAAGACCAGATGACAAATTTTTGAAAAATAGCAAAAAACACATTTGTATAAAGATAAATTAGCAAGGATTTTTAGTGAAGATAGTCAGATAGTTGTTTGTTTGATATTGGTTATTTGTAATGATATAATTGGTTTGTATTGTCTAATTGGACCTCTGTGCCCCGCCCTACCCCTTTCCCATAAATACGAATACGAAGTCAAAATTGAGCCAAACCAAAAAAAGGAAGAAAAATAAAAAAATGGCGAAATCTACAAACTAGTAATTTTTCTGCATGATAATATCTTATAATTTTTGTTGTTTCTTCTCAAATAACTAATTCTGTTTTGTTCTTAAATTACTAATCTGCAACGGTTTTTTATCTCTATTTTTGAATTTGCACATCACAAGAGATGAAGAAATCCGTTGCAAATCATTTATGAGGAAAAGGGTCAGGAAACGATAGAAATTGTCAGTCTGATTTTAATTATCAGTCAGAAAAATTACTAGGTTAGAGAATTTGTCGTTTTTGTAGCTTTAAGCCCCAATTTGAATTTAGGTAAAAACGGTAAAAATACTATTGAAAACATATATCGTACACCCATCACCGACAATTTTTTTGTAGACCTGTGTTATTATTATATTAAGTCTGTACCAACTCCTATACTTAAAAATATTTATAACAATTGTTTTAAATTTGATAAAATGACCAGTAAATGAAGCTAATAAAATGGTAATTTTTTCTTGCTGTTTGATATATTAATCATAAAGTTTAATATTAGTCTTATGATATAAAAATAAGCTTATTGACCAAGTTTTTTCTCCAATGCCGTCGTACCTTACACCCACTCACCAATTAATTCGTTAGTGGACGCTTCTTACGCATAAATTAGTCTTCCGTCTGAACATGCGGTTATATAATAATCTTTCGGTTTAGAATTCAGATTAAAACGATGATTCATGGTTATTATCATCTGTGCAATTGTAAATCTATATGCATTTATAATTAATTTTTTTTTAATTTTTAGTTATTATTACTATACTACTATACTCCTATTATTACTCCTTCAATTTGAGTTTGATTGTATACATTAAGATTTTTCTCAGGTTTTGCTTTATTTATAAAATTTTTAAGATACATTTGTGTAAATAAATTTAATATACTTCTTATTATCAACTGGAGAAAATTTAGTGACGATGTGGCAAGTTAATAAAAAATTACAACAATATATAGCATTTGCTCTAATAAACCCATAATTATTGAAGTACCATCATAACACTTATATAAAAAGTAAAGTAAATATATTTAACATAATTATTTTTTAGACGTGGTTGGTTTATATAGCGACTTTAAAATTAAAACTATGTAAAGTATTTGCGTAAATTGAACTCATAATTATTGCAGTGCAGTAATAATTGAATATAATATAATCAGATAATACAATAGAAGTGCGACATTTTTGTAAATTTCATGCTAAGTATTTTTAACTTTGAGGTATGTAATTTTTATATTTTTCTTATGTTTGATTTAGAACAATTGTTTTAGAATACGCTATATAATATTTGTTTTGCCTTTTTTCAGAATTTTTTATTATAGGTAAAATTTGAATTAAATTCATGTACTTCTACTAACAATGTGCAGCATTTCGACAGATTTGGACATAACACAGAATATTTTTAATGAATTTCAGAATTTTTTCTACGGAGCGAGTATTCGTCTTTATACAGGTAATTAAATTAAGAGTATTACATATACTCTGCTAATTATTATTTTTATCAAACAATTATTGTTGTATGAAAAGTTAGTTTTATTTTGTTTAAAACAGGTATTCACAACAAAACTTTTATCACCAGGTAATCGAATTAAGAGTACTAACATATATATATATTGCCAATGATTATTTTTAATAATTATTGCTTTATGAATAGTTTCTATTTGTTTGGTTGAAAACAGGTGTTCAGAACAAAACTTCTATAACGATTCACGTTACTGATACTGAGCTACAGATTAAAAAAAATATCTGATTATGTTTACGATAATTATTTCCAAATTAATTGAATTACTATCCAAAATTAGTTTTAACGAACAATAAGTGTAAGAGGTATTTTGCATTAAGGCAAATTGCAAAAAACTTTACAATAGTTGTGATTAGAAGTGCCAAAAACAGAAAAAAAAACAAAAAAAACGACAAAATCTCCAATCTAATAATTTTTCTGGCTGATAATTAAAATTTTATAACTTCTATCGTTTCCTGCACCTTTTCTTCTTAAATGAACAGTGAACGGTTTTTACCAACTCATTTTTTAATGAGACTTAGCAACTTTGGGAATTGTGACAATATAATTTTAAATTTGGATCATTACTCTAAACTTTGGAGATTTTGTAATTAAACCTTCATAATAATTTTTTGCATCATCATAATATTTTAGACCATCAAACTGTATCTTCAAAATCCTAACTAAGCATGATCTTCAAAATACTCTTCAAATTTCGATTACTAAATCGGTTTTTACAATTTTCTGCAAATTTCAGAAAACGACTCGGCTGATCTTCTTGCAAAACCAGCCAATGACTTTAAAATTTTAGAATTTGGTTCAGCATTGTTTGATAAAACAACGACGATTGGTCAAATTTCGGCTCACACAATAGACATTTATTCTCAATTGATTCAGAATTACTTGAAACGTCGAGAAAACTGAAAATTAGCAAAAGGAATTTTGGCGACTCTCAAGTGGTTAATAATATTTAATTTTGAATAATTAAATTTGGTACATTATTAACTTTCTGTAAGAAAAAAATCGAAAATGAAATTTTTTATGTATTTTTACGTTTCAAAGGTTTTTGAATATTTTGGCATACCTTAAAAAAATGGATGTATGTGTGTGTGTGCGGATACAAATTTCCTCGACGATTTGGGAACACTGATCAACCGATTTGAATAATTAAAAAAACACGCGATTCGTATTGATAAAGATACATAGTTTTTGGCAAAGGCAGGTTTAGCCGTTTCGAAGATACGGGGCAAAAAGTGACAAAAAAGGTAACTCAGTTTTCGGCAGAACGGAGCGTCCGATTTTAATAATCCAAAAAACATTTTACTTGCATTGACAAGATGAAAAACTGATTAAATTTTTGGGAAGGTAGGTCCAGCGGTTATGGATTCTCAATAAAAATAAGTTAAAATGATGTCATTTGGCGGTCAAAAATGTTTATTGGACATATGTACATCAAATTATCAGATACTTTATAGAGATTTTAATAATGTGTACATATTTTGTCTAAATTTTTTTAGGTTCCATACCAAGATTTTTAACTACGATACGGGAAGTTCCAGCAATTTGCCTTAAGGCACGATGCCATGCGGCATGCATCATATTATATAAACTTATTATACTAGCTTGGTACGTTAATGCAGATAAATAGGCGCAACAGAATGTAGTATATGAGTTGAACTCAAAATTTTATGAAGAAAGTTGCAAGAAATGTGATAAAAGAAAAGTTTCTCGTTATGTAAATAACGATTATTTTTATTCTTAGTGCATAAATTGATAAATTTTACATCCAATGTAGAGCAAATCAGCAAACCAAATTTCTCAGTTTCTCAAAAATTACAAAACTGGGAAAAACTTTGACTTGCAAATTACATGCACGTTGACGGGCACATTTGGTTTGGTGACAATCCAAATCCTATATATAAACTTTCCAAGTACAAGTCTAAATGAATCAGTCGCTTATGTGACATCGCGACCAACAGACGAGGAGTCGAGAAGCATCAGCAACGGACATAAACATATATTTATATTTATGTACAAAAGCTCTCGTTGACTCAAATGTCGAGCGTCGTCTCTTTGCCGAACGACAAATACTGAATTAGAACGAAAAGTAGAGCACTCACGTTCACGTTCGTTCGCGGTTCAGCATCTCATTCCTTGAAAGAATTCATTCATTTTGATTGAATTATTTCATTTGAGTAACATTATCGTATTAAACGGATTATAATGAGTGATTGATTGTTTAAATAATATGTTTGCAGTTTAAGAATTTTATAAAAACTTTAAAATGAAGTTGTGGCCAGTTTTGTTGTTGGTGGCTGTGGGATGGGTGCATTGTATGACCGTTGATAATGGTAAGCTGAATTTATGATTATTAATTATATATATAAAAATTAAAAAAATATATTTACTTAATTTATTATATGTTTCTACATTTTGCATAAACAATTGAACCTAAAATAATTTAAGTGATTATAGTTTATTAATTCATTTATGTAGAGTGGCATCTCTACATAAACCTCTACTTCAAAGAGGAGTAAATGTAGAGACACCACTCTACATAAAACAATTATTAAATTAAAATCTCATATTAATATATCTAATTACCTTTTGCATAAGCAATTGAACATAAATATGTACATAATAGTTTATGTAATTATAATTTAATAATTCTTAATGTGGAGTAGTGTCGCTACATCTACACCACCCTCCATAACAGAATTGATAAAATTGTAATCACATAAATTATTATATGTAACAACCTTTTGCATAAACAAATGAACATAATTATGTATATAATAGTTTATGTGATTATAATTTATTAATTATTTCATGTACTGTGGTGTCTCTATATCTACTTCTAAGGGGAGTAGATAGAGACAACACTTCTCCATAAAAAATATAATCACATAAATTATTATACCTATCTACATTTTGCATAAACAAATGAACATAATTAAGTATATAATAGTTTTTGTTATTATAATTTATTAATTCTTTTATGTAAAGTGGTGTTTCGACATCTACTTCAAAGGGGAGTAACTGTAGAGGCATCACTCTACATAAACGAATTATTAAGTTATAATCATTATAAACATCATTATGTATTTAATCCAAAATTATATTTTATATCAAAATCTATATCAAACAAAACAACGAAAGTTATTACTTCATCGTAAACATTTTTTTTATATTTCTATGTTCATTCATATACATATTATTGTCCTTTACTTCAATTAATTTATGCTAAATTAATAATTGACATACAATTTATCAGCTTCAAGTTTACTCATAAACAGTTTAAGTTTTTGTCTATCTATAATTACCTTAAATTTGATAAATTATTGTAAACGGGGTTGCGAGTTCAAGCTTTTAGGACTGCCTGGCATCGTGCAGCAGCGATGTCCATTTCCTCTTGAAAATATTGATCAAAAATATGTTTCTACTTGAAAATAGTCCATACGGTGAAAAATGGCAATGGAAAATCTCTTACACTATTCTCCCCTGAATCAAGTTGGAGTTTAACTCATAGTATCAGCTCTTAGACTGCCCTAGGTCACTACTGTACATATTATATGTATAAATTAATTTAAAAAAAATCCTATAAATGATAATAGCATCAAAAATTGTTTAACTGATATTTATTATATTTCCTCTTTGCTAATTATTATTTTTTTCTTATTCGAAGTGCAGTTGAACTGCTAAATGATAATAATAAGAATAATATATATTGTTGTCTACCCGACGGCAGGTCCATGACCTGAGAGCACCACAAATAAATGATTCACTTTTCTTCTTTTGTTTATTAATTATTATACTCATTCCCATTTCATTACCACTATTCACTATTTTAGACACTTTTATACATTGACTTTTCTCGCAAAGATATCAATCATCTGCATTCTTTTTCCTAATTTTTTTTAGACTTATTATTGTCAATCAATGGGTCAATGGGTCTCAATTACTTTTTTTTCTTTTAAATGATCGTGTTCATCAGAGTTCCTTCTTTGCCCATTCTTCTCAGCACTTCTTTATTTGTTACCTCAAATTTGTTAAATAAACCATATTTAGTGCCGAAACGTAAAAATAATGAATGTGAATGTATATGTTCACGTACAGCATTTTAAATTTAATTAACTTGATCATTTTTTGTCGAGAATATTATTACGAAAATTAAATAATATTTACTTTATAAATATTTTTTTATTTTTATCTCTTATAAAATTTGTTATCGTCATTTTTTCATTATTATTTTGTTACTATTGATATTTGATTCCTTATATTTGTACGAGTAAACAATTAACATAATCCTTATTGTAATGTATATAATGTTTTAGGTATTTAAAGCTATTGCTTTTTATTAATTATGATAATGACGAATAATTATTATTATGGTACAGAAATTATGATATATCTTGTGGTAACTTGATTTTATTGGGTTAATTTCAAATTGGATCATTCATATTTTCATGACCTTTGTAATCGAGATACTTTTCTAGACAGGATTTGTCCCAATTTTGAGTTATATATCCGGCAGACATTTCGTAAACAAATTTTGGCACTGAAGCAAATCGGGACCATTCAACTCTTTTTTTTTTAATTTTTTGTATATTTATAGTCATTCATATATAAATGGATTAATGAAATTAATCCAATTAAGCCGTAAAAATCGAATTTGTAATTGTAAAATATAAACAAATATTTAGCAATAACGACAAATTCTAGAGCGCAAACATTTGATATCAGTTTTAAAAGTGAACTTAGCAAACTGTGTTATCAAGCTGTTGAAAAAATATTTTGACCAAAATAAATAGCTTGTCTATCGTATATATATAGATAACATTTATAGAAATAATAAAATTAGTATTTAATTAGTTTCTAGCAACAAATCCAAATTTGGGGACAAGAAATTTGACAAATCCAATGTGGAATTTTATATTAGTAAAATAATAGCTATTTTTTATTAATGGGGTATTATTGAATTCCTAATTAAAATAAAATTTTATTGAATAAGTCTTTCGATTAAGGCTATATATACAACTTTTGTAATATAATATAATATAATTTTGTAATGATCAAAAACAGAAGATTTTTTTATCGGGTCATCTAGAGCATGGTGCAACTTTTATATCATTATTTCCTGAATAAAATTTGTTAAATCACGTTAGTCATTCTTGTATAAGTTAATATTTTTATATTAAACAGAAAAATTATCATGCTTTTTTAAAAGATAAAATATGATTATAATGCAGTTTATTACTCTGCGAGTTTAATGGAACATACGTTTTAAATTGGAAACTTATAATCAATGGTATCAAAAATTATATATAATATATCAATCCAAGTTGTTCAAATAATTTTAAAAAAATGAAAGTGAATTCATTCAATTTTTATATTTTTTAGATGAATGTCTAGTACTAAAAATAACTATGATATCTATGAATTTAATGTATATATTTATAATAATTATATTTATTTATAGCAAGTACAAAAGCATTACGATCGGCAATTACATCTGATGAATTAGAAATCACAATCCGTGATTTAAAACCAAGAAAAACAGGAAGAACTCTTCCAGAAGTCCTCTTGGCTGTTGATTTTCCTCATGCAGCATATAGATTCACAATTCTTTTGGATTGGACGTCACAAACAGGTAAATAGATAATAAAAAATCATTTACAAATTTAATTGATACGATACATATTTCAAAATATCATTAGAGCTAATTAGTTCAATTATGCTTTTTAAATAAGACATTAAAGTCTTGATTAACAAAATAAATTATAACAAAAAAATATATGCTTTGCAAGAAGTTCTCATCAGAAGCAAGGTGAGCTAACAATAGTATTTTTATTGTTAGCTTAATAATTCAACAATGTTTTAATAAATACTTGAAGAATTTTAATTTTTATTTAATCAAATTTATAATTATTTAATCTAAAATCTAAATTTAATATAAAAATAAACAATATAAACCGTCCTACATTTATATTCGAGAAATATGAATAAGTAAAGCTCCTCTGCATCAGATTACAGGTTTTTGAGAAAGTGTGTGATATTAAAAATTATCTTAAATTTCAAATTTTCTCTAGTGGGTGACAATTTTTGAAACAAAAATGAAAACAATAGAAACAAGTTAAGATAAATTATAAATGCTGACATAATATTATTGATTCATTTTTGCTCTTAAGATCTGTAGTGAATTGATACTTATTTTCTCTGTAACTGAGCTATAAATCAATATTTTAGTGTTTGGATATTGAATTATTTTTGAAATTAGAATTTTGCAAATACGATTTCAAGAAAACTTATTATATATATCACACAAAACGTTAATGTTTTCAATGTTTTTGTATTACGAAGACGACATATTAATTATGTAATAAGTATTCAAAATATATGTCAATGAGTCTCTATTATCTTTGAGGTCATCTTGCTATCGAGTATAAGTACAATTTGATATGCCCATAATGAACATATATAAAAGTTTAATAACCTAATTAGTTCCTTTCATTCAAAGAACATATCTCAATTACACAACTCAATTGAAAATTCAATGGGTAATTGAAATTGGCTTGGAAGACTTCGATGTAGAAAGATGGATGTCTTAAAATTTGCACATATGGTAATCAGTAATAGATCATTTCATAGAGAAATTAACTGAATAAACTGATTTTTTTACTGTCTTTTACAAAAATTTCATTTAAAAACAGCTGGTTGAACCAAAAGTTTTTCTTAATTAGTTTCATTCATAAATACTAGATATATAGTATTTAACTTAATTAGCATCATTAATGAATACATGAATATTATAAAATAAACAATTAAAAATCAATAAACAAAATTATTATATTCTTCATTAAAATTTCATGAATTACACTATTAAAATATTACAATATTAAAATATCAGGATTTTTCTAATAATAAGTTGTAATTATTTTTATCAAACTGGCAATAAGAATTATATATTATACTATTTTCAAATTCATTATATCTCTCCATTTAAAAAAAAATAGTTTTTTAAAAATCATCAAACAAATAATAATTTTTTTCATATGTATGAGAAAATGAATTTAAAACTATTTGCAAGAAAACGCAGTGCACGTGATGTCAGTATTTCGTGCACTTCATGTCTCATTGTATTTTTAGTTGCAAATAATTAGAATATTTTAAGTTTTTTGCTTTTTAAAAAATGTTATATACATTCAAAATAAAAATGTTCTAAATATTAACAAAAACAAAAAAAATCGTTACTGAATAATATTAATTTTTTATTTCAAATATGAGGTAATTACTATGTAATGTATATATGCACATAGTAATTAAAATATTAATAATTTACTTTACTTTTGTTTCAAGTTGTTTTGGAAACTACCAGACTTGGCCAAAGCGAGTCAAAACAAGCATTTGCTCTACCAAACCTGGACACCGAGTTCTTTGTGTCCTCCTTAATCCTGCACGTCAGGCAGGAGCGTCCTGATGCCCGAATTGAAGTATATGAAAACTGTGAGCTAAGGGGCACTTTCCATACCAATACCACTTTTAGGGACGCCTTTGAATCAGAGGATGATCACAAGAGGGTTGTCAAAGTGGTAAGTTATAATAAAATTATAGTAATAAAATTATAAAAGAATTATAGTAATAAAATTATTCTGATTGAAATGGACAAATTCAAGAAAATTTTTTAGTCAAGTTAAGTTTTATTGAGTGTTAGATTTAAATAATAAAATAATAAAAATAAATAAAATTAAAAATAATGAAAATAAATACTTGCAAGTTGCTATTTCGAACAAATTTCACTCCTTAGGTTAAATTTTTCTCTCCGTGTGTTACAAAGTATTATTTTTGTTTTATTTAAAGTGAATTAAGATTTTGACATTGCAAAATAAAGTAAAGAAGATATTGGTTAGATTTTCTAAATAACTAAAAATTGTTAATCCCATAGATAAATGAATCCCATAAAAAGTATATGATTAATACTAATAGCTTTATACACAACGCAACTATATAATCATAAATGTTATTATCATTATCTGTTACGGATATAAGCTCTTAATAAATTAAATATAGACAATTTTATGGCAACTTTGATATCACAAAAACTAAACAATTTTAGAGCATATCGTCTATGTTTTACTAAAGATTAAATTGATTCAATCATTGTCTCACAAGATGAATAAATTCACCATTAATCACAAAGATGAAAGGCGCGGCTCATGTAGGAATGCTCGTTTTATGTTTTATAATAATTATTATTCAAAACAAGTTATAAAATGATTGTTCTGATATTTGTATATGTCTCGACGAATCTGAATGAAACCTTGTTTAGAATGGTCAGACGTCATGACAATATCATCTGTTTTTTATGGACTTAGATTGGGAACATGTTTATAAATAAAACATAAATACATGTACTGCATGTAATAAAGTTAATCAAATTTTATTTAAAGTATTATATGTATAATCAAATATTTAAGCACGTGAGAAAATTCTCAATTTGTATTATTTTTGCAAACAATAAGTCAAAACTCTTTCAATTCGTTCAGAAATAACAAATTTGATTATTTTGATAATTTTGTTTAATAATTTACTCGATTCTGCAGTTATTTATTAATTCAGAGTACAATAATATTCAATATTTAACTAATATATACGGTAGAGCGGGGCACAAAGGTCCAATTTGACTTTGATCAATTATATTGTGAAAACCAAACCAATTATATCACATATCAAATAACACATATTAAACAAACAACTATCTGACTATGTTCCCAGTTAATTCATAATAGTAGAAATGTGTTTTTTTTGCTACATTTTAAAAAATTGTCATCTGGTCCATTTTACCCCATAGGCGGGGTGAAATGAGACAGCCAGAAGCGAACAGATTCAATGTCTTATTTTTAATTTTAAAGAACTTTAACGAAATAATAGTTATATTGTTCGATCGATGCAAAATATAAACTTTATGCGTAAATAACACTGCATATAACCTTGATCTAGTACTTCGTCAGAACTAATTGTCAGCATAGTTGAAATAAGTATTTATTTCATATATTTTATGCAAAATTGCTTTTTTAACTTCATTTTCTCTTTTATTTACTATTCTTATCGTTTACACTTTTGAAAGAGTAAAGGTTTACTTGGTCCTTTTTACCCCACCCACATGTAAGCTTTTATAGAGTTTAAAAAAAACTGTTGAGTCTAACCTAAAAACAACAATACAGTTTCCTAAACATTTAAATAACTTAGACTTAATAATTATATTAAGGTGTCTTAAACTAAACGACAGTAGTCACAACCAAAAAAATTAACAACGAAAGAAAATAGTTTTATTTATTTATTTATTTATACGCCAATCGGCTTTATACAGTTTTATTATATTGTTTGCTAATTCATAACTTGTATATTTATATCTATATACATATACACACACATATATATATACACATATATATATACATACATATACGAATTTGCAATTTTGTTACGAAGTTTTGTTACGAATTTTCAAACATTGCCGTATATGTCCAGATATTGACATCGTAAGAAACATGATAATGGCTGAATTCACATCTTTTACCCTCTACTTTCAAACATTATGAAAAATTCTTAACTCCACTTGTTTCTGAGGTATCGGTAGTGAATCTTTTTACCCACGGACCCTTATACCGCACTCTACCTTATATATAAATAAAAATCTAATAGCGTCTTGACAAGTAAACATAGTCATGATGACACTAAAATACAAAACTGTATATTTTAAATATTTCCATTACTATTTCCAGTATCGCGACAGACGAATGCCCCTAAGTGTTGACGGAGGTACGACCTTACAGAAGGAACTCGCACGAGTTGGTTGCCAGACTTCCAAGGATGCCGAATCCTACCAAGAAATCATGCAGATGCAGGCTGATGGAGTTCCCAACAACATTAGGCGCGGAGACATTCCTATTATGCATTCCGATTGCGATGGTAAAATAAATTATATATAGAATCTATCAAAATCTAATTATTTTCCAACAACAATATTTGAAAGTAGAGGTCAAAAGATGTGTAACCAGCCTTACTCTTGATTCTTACGATGTCGCTATCGGGAAATCAACAGAAATGTTAAAAAATCTATAACAAAAGTATTTTTGTTGTTAGTTTTTTTTAGTCTGAGCTATAGGTCTAACCAACAGATATTTAGTTTTCTAGACCTTAATATAAAAGTCTTTTTAAGTGTTTTATGTGCAGTATTGTTATTATTAAGTTACTTTCAACAATTTGTTTTTCATAATACCTCTATAGAAGCTCATATATGATAGTGTAAATCTGTTTATTATTGAATACATAGCTTAGTATTCTCAGATTAATATTACTGGCAGTTGTAGTTTGTAGTGATACATACAAATTACATAACATTTCCTTACTATTATTGCCGGTTTAAAAATAAACCATATCCATCGATGATGATGTATTGTATCAGAAGGACACATTGCAATATATTTTCCTAGAGGTTTATAAATATCTTTATTGCAGATTTGTTAGTACAAACGCTGATAGAATTAATAGCAGTCGTAAAACATTTGCGTGGAGAAGTTGAACAACAAAAAGGCGACATTCATTGGATACGCAACAAATTGGAACAATGTGATATTTGCAATAGACCAGAACCAGTTAGAGAAATTGACTGCACGACGTACCCATGCTTCCATGGTAAGAATGATATAAATCATTATAAGAAACTTAGTATAAGAAATACCTAAGAGTACAATTTTAACTCTTTGTGGACAAACATACTCTGTGAGGGACAGGCTATTTCATAAGCTCAGTTTGCATCGAAAAGTTGAATGAATTACATATAGCAGTGATAAACAGTGTTGTATTTTGAAAATAATTTTAAGTTATATTAGTAGTAGTTTTTACCCTTTTTCTTTGCTATATAGTCTTTTTTAATATTTAAAACGACCGCTTTCAAATATAGCAAAACGACTGGTAAGTTTTGTAAATTAAGCAGCAGTGAAGATGAGTTTCAAATAGACTTTCATACAGACAAATTTTACGAAATTACTATTCGCACCGAAGATAGTGATGAATGTGATGATGATATTATCCAGCCAACAAAAAGAAGAAGAAGTTCGACAAATTGAATGAAGAGCGGAAAGACATTAGCGAATGTGCCAATTCTCCTTCAATAATCGATTTTGACATACATTAACAAACACCCCGACTACAAATACCAAGCAATATAAGACATCCAATAGATTATTTTACTTTATATTTTACAAATGAATTATTAGACAATATAACAGAAAAAGCAAGCCATTATGGCAGAACAAGAATGAACAAATATACTGACTAATCAGTGGCATATTGCGAGGGAAAGAAAAAGGCGTCGAACAACATTTTATTGTAAAACATATCAAAATCAACCAGCTATGCATTTTAGAAATTGTTTTGAACGTCACCATTCTTTATAAAATGATCAAGAATAAATTAATATTATATTTATAAATGTATGTCCTCCAATGACCACAAATTTTTATTAAACAAACTGCATAACATACACAATGAAATCAAGTTTACAGCAGGTACAGTAGATTGTTTTGAAATCGGTGCCGTCCCGTAAGTGTTAAAAATTGGACTGGGGAATTTGGAAAAAAATGAATTTTTATTTACCTATTTAATTTATTATGCTCAACATCTAATAATTATTTGTACTAGAATCATTTTTAATGGGCAAATATTAATTGGTAATAATTACTTAACTACAAAATAACATTCGACAAAACTAGGAATAATGTATAGTGTCTTAGCAAATGATAAAATTCTAACTTATGACTGATTTTTTTTTCTAGGTGTTCATTGTACAAATACTGCCAGAGGTCCAATCTGCGGCCCATGCCCTCGTGGTTACATTGGAGATGGAAGGGATTGCAGGCCCCGGACTCAAGTGTGATGACAGACCATGCTTCGAAAATGTTCAATGTTATGACACTCCTGAAGGTGCACAATGTGGACCTTGTCCTAGTGGTTACGAAGGAGACGGAAGACAGTGCAGAAGACGTGGAGGTTGCGAATCACGTCCTTGTAGCGCAGGTAATTATAGAAATAACTAGGGGTAAGTGGCATTTGGCTTTAAGACCAGATACATGATTTTTCCAATATAAGTGAATAATCGACTTAATCAACGGAAATCGAGATTCAGCTATTCAGATAAAATTTCGACTGTTTATTTCGCAAACTAATCAATGCGATTTCCAATTGTTGCCGTTTTAATAAACATTTGATATCTGTAATTATTGGTATATTCAAGAAACATGCTATACCAACTTGTATATCCTAAGGCGCCCATTAACATGGAGATATCATGGAAAAACATTTTTGCAATTTTCAGTTAATTCTTAAAAAACAGCTCGTTAATCAAAACGAGTCCTTTTCGAGCTTGGTTCAACCTTTTTCGAGAAAACGTCGACAAAAGGTCAATCGATTCACATATAAATCGACGTTTTCTCAAAAAACGGCTCGACCGATTTCAAAAATTTAAAAGGCCATTCGATTCATCTCGATGAGGACTATCATTTGTCAGTTTTGCGCTACGATCGGCCAAGCCGTTTCTTTGTAAATCGCAGAAAAGTGAAAAATTTTTCGTCCACGTTTAAGCCCGCAATTCTGAATCGATTTTGAAAATTCAAAAACCGTTCGAAAGATATTGGTTGGGAATCGTTCTGATTAGTTTTTGGTAGAGATCGGCCGGACCGTTTTCTTGTAATAAAGTGTTAAAAATTTTTTTTTCGACGATTTTTATTATTATTTTTTGACGATAGATATCATACCCTTGTCGATCATACTAAAATATTACGGCCCTATGACAACTCGTTTAACTTTAAAAATTTGTCAAAGTTTGTAAAAATTGATTTCGTTTTTTGGCATTTGTCAAATTAGACTTTTAATCGACGGTTTTTTAAAAACGCCTGAACCAATTTCAGAAATTTGAAAGCCATTTGATGTATCTAGATGAGGACTATCGTTTGTCAGTTTTTTGACGATCTGCCAAGCCTTTTCTTTTTTATTTGGAAAAATGTGTTAAACTTTTCGTCCACATTTAAGCTCATACTACCGAATCGATTTTAAAAAATCAAAAACTGTTCGAAAGATATTAGTTGGGAATGATACTGATCCGTTTTCTTGTAATTAACTTTTGAAAAAAAAGCCGATTTTTATGGAACTTTTTTTCGTTATATATCATCATGGTCTTATAGAACTTACTGAAATATTACGGCCTTGCGACATGTAGTTTAATTTTAAAAATTCATCAAAGTTTGAGAAAATGAGTAGTTTTTTTGACGTTTTTCAAATTAAAATTGAACGAATTACTTGATATAACGATAGATTATTTGGTCTTAATAAACATACTAAACCTACGGAAACTGGTTCAATTATAAAAATTGTTTTGAAAATTTTTGAAAACTTGCTCTTAGAAAATATTCCGATTTAACGTGCTCGTTCGTTTTCATACTTTAATCACTCATAAATTAATTTATTTTTTATTGATTAAGTCGATCATTTACATACACATATCGGGAAGGTCATGTAACTTGCCTCAAGGCGAAATACCAATACCAACTAATTTTATACGAAACATTCAGCGTAAAAACAAAACAATTGTGGGAGATCTTAATTAAAATCTACTCAACATATATGAATATATTAATATTTAGTATATTATAATTTGAGTCTTATTAACTTTGAGAGCATTTTTTCTAATGATTTTTTAGAAAATTAAAATCCAAAGTTATAATTAACTGTAATTTCCTACAACGAAGCGTCAGAAAAAAATGTAAGGATAAATAGCAATTACCACTTCGAATTTGTATGCCATTCTAATCTTATGGTTGCATATTTATTAATATCCCGAAAAAAATAGTTATGTTACAATTTTATTTTATGATTGATTTTACTATTATACTTTTTATTTTTGCACTAGGTACTCTAGGTATAAAATGCAAACGTAAAATATGTACGTTTCTCAATTATGCTTACCTGTATTATTTTCCTCAGGTGTGCAATGTGTGGACACTGATTCATTCCCATACTACCGTTGCGGATCATGTCCTGCAGGATTCACTGGAAATGGAACCAACTGTCGTGATCTTGATGAAGTTAGTACCAAAACCAAAACAAAAACCACAAAGTTCTATCGTCAAAGACAATTTTATAGTCAATTTGATGGTCGTTAAACCATCGAATAAAAACAGCAATTATTCTCAATATTACCAATATTCTTTCAAATAACTTGTATTTTCTAAATATTTTTTTTTATTATCTCTTTTATTTACAACTGTCCAGTAAAGGGCATTTAATAAATTTGATGAATTTACAATAGGTGGCCGATCAGTAGTTGTTTTTCCATTCGATACAAAATTCACAATTTATTTTTTTCTAAATATTTAATAGAGTCGAATTATATGATAATTATCAAAACGGTTTATATTAGATTGTGCTTCATTAAATAGAAAGTCTACATGACTTTATTCTGAAACATATTGAAAGAGACTAAATATTGAATTAAATTCAACTTGGGTCATTAAGTGTCTGACTTATTCTATTGCTACATAGTATTATTTACAATAGTTAGCTCATAAGCTCAAATAAAAACAAGTATATGAGTTAGCTTAATTAAAGTATAAATAAAATACAGCATTTTATATCTGTTAAAAACAATGTTGTATAAGTTTGTCACATATTTCTTTATAACATGATTTTGTATAAAATATTACAATATGAATAAAAGTGATGGAAATAATAAGAATATTTTTATTGTTTTTATAAATGTATTACCTTTCCATCAATTTTTATATTTAATTTTAGTATGCAATATTCTTAATTGGAATTAAATTAGATAGAAAAAGTCAGACATGAATAACTGATTAAATTATTTTTTAATTTGAATTAATGTGAGATCGTGTTTTTTCGTTTAAGGCGTCTAACATAATTAAGTTTAATAATTTCGCTCATGAGATTTATATATTTATCTCTTTTAACACTATATTTGTTTAGATTTTCCAATTATTATTTGTAAAAAAATATTTAAAAATTCAAAAAATCATTTCTGAAGAGGGGGCGTTCATAAATCACGTGATTGATTTTTTAGGAATTTTTAGACCCCTCCTCCCCCTTGGTGTTACGTCGTGATATTTAAAATTACTCCCCCCAAAAACATTACGTGTATTTTCAGTTACGTAAAATTTTTGAACAAATTTTTCGAATTTACGACGTAACGTAAAATTTTTTATTCAACAAAAAAAAAGAAATAGGTAAAATAAATATACGTGACATCTAACTAGACCCTCCCTCTCCCACGTGATTGTTTGTCAAAATCCCACCCTCTTCCTCTAAAAGCCTCACGTGATTAATGGACCCCTAATATATTAGAATTCGCAATAATATAACTCAAAGTGATAAATCTCAAAATAAGAATTGATAAACTAGATGTCGGATGCTTTATAGGCGACACTCGATACTTAGATATTCATATGTCATCTATAGGCGACATTTGTATCGATGGCGTCAAATAATTATATAATATTTTTATGAGCAAATAAACAAATTTTGTTGAAGAGTTTAGCAATAGGATTCAATTCATTTACAATTAATGAAAAAATATAGTACGCTTGGAGCAAAAAGAGTTGCAGGAATAATTACTATCAAAATAAATTATGTTTTCTATTTATTGTAAGATATTATTAGTAATTGGAAAAAAATCGAAAATGTCGTCTCTATGCTGCTAAAACAGTGCGATTGCTTTGAAAAACAGTTAACAATCTCCAAAATTTTTCAAAATAAAGAAAACATTATTTCAAAAAATCTTTTTTTTTTTTTAAAAAAAGTCTCTTTTTTAAAAAATCTTTTTTTTTAAAGAGTCATTTTTTTTTTCAAAAATCCTTTTTTTAAAAAAGTCTTTGTGTTTTAAAAAAGTCATTTTTTTCAAAAATCTTTTTTTAAGTCATTTTTTTTCAAAAATTTAAAGTTTCTCAAAAATATAATTTTCTCAATTTTTTATAAAAAATAATCTTTTTTAAAAAATTTAACTTTTGGTAGGGGAAATTCCAGCAATTTGCCTGAACCCACTAGTATTATATTAATATTTACTTCTCTGTCAATATTAAAATATGTAATTTTCCCAGTGCGACTTAGCCGAGCCGTGCGACCCGTTGACCCGCTGCTACAACCTGTCGCCCGGTTATCGCTGCGACGCGTGTCCAGCCGGCTATCGAGGTGGTGCCATAGAGGGTGTCGGCATAGAGTACGCAAGACGTAACCGCCAACGCTGCGAGGACATCGACGAATGTCAAGACGGAAGAAACGGTGGATGTGTGCCCAACAGTGAATGTATCAATACGGAAGTAAGTGAATATTGAAATATACAAAATATTTGTTATTAACAGCTAAATAAGTGAAGTAATATTAAAACTTAATTTGGGTTGAATAGGGCATAAATTAAACTTGAATTGATTGTAATTAAATATTCTGACTTCTGTATTTAAAACATTGCTACTTTATAATTAGAAAAAAAAATTTCTCGGTTTTTAAATATATCTTAAATTCAATTTCTTATTTGTTTGTGCATCAACTCAAACAATCATTTTGCATATTTTTCACGTTACGTTAGATATTAAATTAATTATTTTATAATTTTAATTTTTTACTCGCCAATTTAGTACTCTGTTTGTGATTTCATTAGTGAGTCTTTAAAGTTTAAATTCTTTAAAGACATGTTTAAATTGTTTATGGTATTTTAATATAAAAACCAAATTAAAAATGCAACCACACAATCAACAAATAAATGAAACCTTCATCAACTGTGGTTAATGAGTTTGAAGATATGAAATATTTTATGAAATAACACAGTGTCTTTTATAAAAAATAATAATAAAAGGAGCATTCAAATGTTCAAATTGTATTTGAAATAATAATAACAATAAATGGAAGTCTGCCCGAAGGCAGGTCCATGGTGTAAAGACATCACAAATCAATGATTTCTTTTGCCCACCTTATTTATTATTTGCATTACCATTTCATTACGATGAATTGCTTTGGTTTTTAGTTCTCTGAATTTTCTCTTTTCATAGGTCATCAATCATATGCAATTTTCTTTTTCCAAGTTCTTTAAGTCTTTCTATTTTACATTCGGGTAGCTGTCGGTTTGCAGTTCCGATCCAGTTTCCTTTCCTTACCACGATCGTGATCAGCTCAGTTCTTTGTCCACTCTTCTCAGCATTTTTTCATTTGTTATTTTATCTGTCCACTTTATCTTCTTCATTCACCTACAGCACCTCAAAACTAAGCTGAAAATTTAGTCGACAGTTTTAAAACTTCATGTCTCTGATCCGTTCAGCGCTATGCTCCAGGCATAACTTTATTAGTCATTTATTAGATTCTTCCGCAAGTTGAGTCTCAGCTTGCTCGTTATTAGCTATTTATTGTGAACGCTTGGTACTTGCAATTCTCGCCCTGATCTTTCTTTAGAGTATCTGTATCTGGTCAAGATGTTACCCAAGTATTTAAAAAAATTCAGATCTCTCAATTTTAATTCCGTTTGTCGGTGTGTTGATTTCCATTCCAAATTTTGTAGACACTTTGACGATTCTGCTATTCTGCTCATCATCCTTTGTAGCTTCTTTTAGGTATTCGATATCACCACGATACAATATGTGTACATTATAGTAGTGATTTTTCTTCTTTCAATCAAAATTTTAAAGTCTTCAAGTACCTTGTTGACGAGCCATTCTTCGCATATAGGCAAAACAGATTATATGCAGTATCCTTGCCGCTATCTCTATCTATTTTGACACTATTTGTATATCCCCAGTTTATTTACCTTTACATTACCTTATTTGAAATGATAGGTATACATTTTAATTACACAAAATAGTATTTGAAATGAAATCAGTAGTAACAAAAATTTACTTATTATTATATTTTCTTCTGTGATATCTATTAGGTAGATTTCTTATTATTTAAGTTTAAAACATGGGTGGAGCAACATAAAAATGTGTAGAGTCTTTTATAAATATGCATATATCTATTTGATATTTCGTGACTCATTTAGTTGACCTTGATAGAGAATTCAGACAGTATAATGAACGACTTGTAACGGATAACACATAATGCTAATTTAGGTTTCCATATTTTTGATTTTAAATTATAACACACTAATGATGAGACAAACCTAGTCTCGAAACGTTTGTAAAATTATTATTTAGTAAATCAGTGCAAAAAAGAGTGTTGTTTGTCCATATTTCTAAATTAATATATATAAACATTTATACGTATGAAATTTTATATGGAAGCATATAATGCAAATATCACGTTTGCCTAGGAGATGAATGAATGAATGAATTGAATTGTTATTATGAATCAAATATGAAATTTAAGAATGTTTGCAGATAAGTCGTTTATTAGTGATGTATCCAAATAATATATTCAATTAGATGTAAGTACGCTTTAAAAATAACAATTTACATATTATTTTTATTTCTAGGGTTCCTTCCGTTGTGGCCACTGCATGCGCGGTTACCATGGCGACCAGAACATCGGCTGCCACAAACGCGATGGTGTCTGCCCTGATGGTACCGTCTGTGACGAGAACGCAGAATGTCGCCACATCGGCGGCGGACGATACCGCTGCAAATGCAAGGCGAGTGTTCGATATCTCATGTGCCCACCACACTTGAGATAGGCAGAAGATAAAAATTATCCAAATTCATATACCAGGCAACATACTCGTATATAATTGAAACTTGGTCTTATTGAAAAAGTCTTTGGCAACCTTATATTTTAAAATATAGGTTAATAAATTGAATTATCTTGGCTATACTATTTTGAAGCTCTACTTCTTTTGAATGTTGGTTAATCAAAAATGAA